TTTTACCGCCTCTTCCCCTACCGCACTGCTCCTCGCCCCCCCCCGCCGCTCTTTCTCGCCCCAGGTCCTCCCCAGGTAGACCCCCTCCCCGCGCCAGGTCCTGCTCCTTCAGGTGTCTCTCAGGTAGACCCCCCTGCGCCTGCGCCTGTTGAGGTCACTGGTGACTCCGGTCCTGCTGCGAGTGGTGCTGTCCCTGGGGGTGCGGAGCTTGGGGGTGCTGAGTCTGGGGGTGCTGAGCGTGTGGAGCCTGGAGGTGCTGAGCCTGCGCGTGAGGAGCCTGGAGGTGCTGCGTCTCGTGGTACTACGTCTGGAGGTGCTGCGTCTGTGTGTGCGGGGCCTGGGGGTGCTGAGTCTGGGGGTGAGTCGCCTGACGGTTCTGAGACTGCTCTTCCGCGGTCTCCTTGGAGTAGCCGTCTTCGTCCGCGTGTGCCCCTCACCTCCCAGCAGCTGCACGACTGGTACGGTCACCGTCAGCGTCCCACTTTTGCACCTCAGGGCTCTCCTGCTGGAGGTTCTTCTGCTGGTGTCGCTGGTCCCGGAGGTGCTCGTACTGGGAGTGCTGGAGCTGCTAGGGCTGGTGGTGGTGCTACTGGAGGTCCTAGAGCTACTGGTGGTGCTGGAGCTGCTGAGGGTACTGGAGCTGCTGGAGGTGCTGGAGGTGCTGGAGCTGCTGGAGGTGCTGGAGCTGCTGGAGGTGCTGGAGCTGCTGGAGGTGCTGGAGCTGCTGGGGGTGCTGGAGCTGCTGGAGGTACTGACGCTGCTGGAGGGGCTGGTGCTACTCGTGCTGGTGGCACTGCTCAGCCGCGCCTGTTCTTTGCTCCGCCGTCTCCGTCGTCTCAGCCACCACCTGACTCTGCACTTCGCCAGGTTCTCAGTCTTCCCTCGTCTACTGGTCTTCTGTTACAGCCTGGCTCACCGCTGCCTGCTCCTTCTCCGTACACAGAGCAGCCTGGTGGCCTTGCAGAGCGTCGTGAGCCTGCGTCGCGTCCTGTCTCCCCTGTCTGTACTGGTCGTCGTGTTCCTCATCAGAGCCAGCCGGCTGTCTCCGGCCCTCCCCTTGTAGTTCGTCGTCCTTCCTCTCCTTCTCCGCGTGTTCCTCTGCCGCCTCCCCCTGCGTCCTCTCTGCCTGTCCTTGCTGACCCTGTGTCTGACCGGTTTCGTGCTGAGCACTCTACTGTCACGCGTCTGCTTGCCACTGTTGTCACTGACCCGTCGTTTGAGTCTGCTGCTGCGTCTGCCTTAGTCATTGAGCTTGTTGCCTTTGCTGCTCGCTGTCGTCTAGACTGCGCCGCCAGTCTTGTTGCTGAGTCTGTCTGTCCTCCGTCCGTCGGGGGTGAGTGTGCTCTTGGCACGGACGTCCTTGAGGACAGGCAGGAGGACCTTGAGTGTCTTGCAGCCGCTGCGCCTCATCTCGTATCCATGCTGCTTGCCCCTGAGGGAGACCCAGATGCACCAGACATCCCTACCCCGCGCTCTTACGCTGAGGCGATCGCGGGTGAGTACTCCTCTCAGTGGCAGACAGCCATGGACGCAGAGATGGCATCCTGGAAGTCCACAGGCACCTACGTCGACGAGGCTCCCCCTCCTGGGGCGAACATTGTCAGTGGCATGTGGATTTTCAGGGTGAAGCGGCCGCCAGGTTCTCCGCCTGTCTTCAAGGCTCGGTACGTGGCTCGAGGCTTCAGTCAGCGAGAGGGAGTTGACTTCTTCCAGACCTTCTCCCCCACCCCGAAGATGACCACTCTTCGGGTGCTGCTGCACGTTGCCGCTCAGCGTGACTACGAGCTTCACTCTCTTGACTTCAGCACAGCCTTCTTACAGGGCAGCCTGCACGAGGAGATTTGGCTGCGCCGCCCTCCTGGCTTCACTGGGTCGTTCCCTCCTGGTACCCAGTGGAGCCTCCGGCGGCCGGTCTACGGTCTCCGCCAGGCGCCACGTGAGTGGCACGACACACCAGGACGACACTTGCGGCTCTTGGGTTTGCTCCGTCGACTGCTGACCCGTCGCTGTTTTTGCGCACCGACACTTCTCTACCGCCGTTCTACGTTCTCGTGTACGTCGACGACTTGGTCTTTGCGACTGCTGACACTGAGGCTCTCGCCCTGGTGAAGTCGGAGCTGCAGAAGAGACACACGTGCACAGACCTGGGTGAACTGCGCAGCTACCTTGGCTTGCAGATCACCCGGGACAGAGCACGCCGCACCATCACACTGACTCAGTCACACATGGTGCAGGAGGTCCTTCAGCGCTTCGGTTTCACCTGGTCCTCAGCACAGGCCACTCCTCTGGCTACAGGTCACTCGCTCTCAGCTCCACCTTCGGACGAGTCCGTAGAGCCGAGTGGTCCTTACCCAGAGTTAGTGGGCTGCCTCATGTACCTGATGACTTGCACTCGTCCTGACCTTGCGTACCCTCTTGGCCTTCTGGCTCGCTACGTGGCTCCTGGTCGGCACCGAAAGGTGCACATGGATGCTGCCAAGAGGGGACTACGCTACTTGTGCAGTACATCGGGCATGGGGCTCGTGCTTGGAGGACGGGGTGACGTTGTCCTCACAGGTCACTCGGACGCCTCTTGGGTTGACGACCAGGCTACGCAGCGGTCGTCACAGGGTTACACCTTCAGCCTTGGTTCTGGTTCAGTTTCCTGGCCTTCTACACGTTCGTCTTCAGTTCTCGGCTCCAGCTGTGAGGCAGAGATCTACGCCACAGCCATGGCTGCACAGGAGCTGCGCTGGCTCACCTACCTGCTGACCGACTTGGGAGAGAGGCCTCGTTCTCCTCCAGTTCTGTACGTCGACAACAAGGCCGCCATTGCCTTGTGTCAGGAGCACAGACTGGAGCACATAACAAAACACATCGCTCTCCGTTACTTTCTTGCTCGAGAGCTGCAGCAGCGTGGTCAGCTTCGTCTTACCTACGTGGCCACTCAGGCCAACACTGCTGATATATTCACCAAGGCGCTTCCGCCTGGTGATCGTCAGCGTTTCTGCACTTTGTTAGGCCTTGTGCCCACTCTTCCTCACTTGCTGTAGGCTTTGTTTGTACCATGATTTATATGTATTCCTGCATGCTTGTTCTTGTAGGTAGATATCACTGTACTGTTGTTGTTACATATATATTTCTGCATGTGAACTGGCCTTGTGGCCTTCTTGCTTGTGCTCAGACTGCGTGGTGACGTTGTGATCCACCCTGAGCTTGCTTTGCACTTCGTGACTGGTCTTTTGACCCTCTGTTCTCCCCCACTTTGCATATGGGGGTGTGTCAAACATATGTGTATATATGTTATAGTTTGGTTAGGCTTAGTGGGGTACTCACTGTGGGGTACAACCCCTTAGGTTTCTCCTTTGTACCTTTCCCCTCGATAGTCGACACCCAACTTTCCCGTAAGATTCTAACAGAAATACGGGGACACGGACTGTGGGAAGGGAGGCCCGTGGGGTACGGCTGCTATGAGAAGTCTCACTCGAAGACGGTATTGGCGTGGGCAGCACAGGACGCGACGTAATCACGAGCAGGTTGACAGCAGGTTGTTGCACGAGGGCGACGGGATTCTGACGTGCCTGAATCGGGCGTTGACACCATGCTGACACCCTGTTTCAGCCTAATGCTATGCCCGGCATTCTTCGCGCTATGAATTTAATATGCCGTGCTAGTCCCGCTATGCTAGACTTTGCCGAGCTGCGCTCCCCATTGCATAGAGGTGGGTCCGTTCCCTGGCGGCGTCAAATTCGCTTGTGTACGAGACGTGATAGAGATAGCGCGACTCTGTGCTAAGAGCCTCACGTGCCATGCAAGGGATGAGACGTCCGAGGCGGTCTGACACAAAGCATTGGACGTGGTACACGTTGGTCGGCCCCCAATCTGTAATGCTGGTTACCAGGCCCTCAGATTGGTTTGAGGGTATGCTGATGGATCAGCGTGCCCCGGCCAACGAGGTGTCCAAATCAGCGTTCACGGTTTTTTTTATACTGATTTTGCCAGTGTAAAAATCATAAGTAAACTGAACCAACAGTGTAATAACAAAAAACTATAGCTGAAACCCCAGTACAAGGTGTGTGGTGTTGTTGCTGTGATAGGTTCCAGCGAGGCTAAACACTTCGGCGCGCACCTGATATCTGTGCAGTGCATGCGAAAAAATTCCAAGTGTGTGGGTGGGGTCTCAGGAATCACGGGAAGGTACAGATTGTACATGCGTACCCTATCACCCCCCCCCCCCCCCCACACGCGGTCAACTCCGTTTCAGTGTGACTCACGTCACTATACTGATTCGTCAGTGTTTCTTGTAAAGAAACACGCAAAATGGTCAGTGTGACAAGGTAGGATATACTGAAATTTCAGTGCAAAATTGAAGCATATGCTGAATTTTCAGGGAAAACGAAAATCACAGCTACAAAATCAGCGTAATCAGCGTGTTTTACGCTGATATCTGAGGGCCTGCTGGTTACCATTGAATATGGGTCAATGAGCATGACGCATTCAGATGGTTCATGGATTGTGCCCGATTTCTCGGCTCAAGACATTCGCGGGGTGTTTCCTCGTTAAAAAAACACAAATATGCATTAGAACACCCTTGCATTTCATTATATTTTAAAAAAACATAGCACTTATAATAAGACCCGGGTCTTATCGAATTTTTAGTCTATAATAAGACCCCCCCCCCCCCCCCCCCCCCCCTTTTTTTGTGAAATCAATAAGAGCCCCTAGAGTCTTTTATCCGGGGGAATACGGTATGCTAGGTTTTGTTGTGATTCTTCTGCTGATTGTCAACCATGGATGTAACAAACCACACTTGAGTAATAACGAATCCCCATGACAATTTTATGGGCGAAGGCTGGAACACGCTGGGCTCCACTTGGGTTGTTTGTGTGAAATGATCCTTCAACAATGTGCCTTTGATAGGAGCTGGGTTTATTTTGTTCGGAGACTTGCACTGCACCCTCTTGTACACTTCATAACACGGCAGAGCAGTGCAGTGTCCCTTAACAATCCTCCCAGGAACATTACTGACATAAATGCTCGTGCCAGTCCCTGCCGTCACATGGCGAATGCTCGTACCAGTCCCTGCCTCGAAGAAAGCCTTTCAGGCAAGCAGGCTGTGTGGGCTTGGGCCCATCGCTCGTGACTTTCAAGTGGTGCAGTGACGAGAAGGACGAGAGGAAGGGCGGGAGAGAGTGCAGGCGGCGCCAGTGCAGCAGGTCCAGGCGAGTGAGGCGGGAGAAGTGAGCGAGTGAAGGGGGGAGGCGGGGCAGGTCGGAGAAGCAGATCTGAAGTGTGGAGAGGAGAGGCGGGCAGGAGAAGTAGGGCTCAGAGCAGCCTCGGGTGATGTTGGAGAGGCGGAGGGTGCGCAGGGAGGAGAAGCAGGAGAGGGCTGCAAGGAAATCCCGGTAGTCTGCATTGTCCACAATGAGAGTGGAGAGCGCCGTGAGCTGCATCAACTCATGCTTTTGGTCACCTGGGTGTTTAGGCAGTCTGACAGAGTTCAATTGCAGGAAGCGGAGGTTAGACGAGAAACCGCGCTCCACCTCCCAGTTCACATTGAACTTGTCGGAAGCTCAGCCCTGTGTTGCTTCCTCTCTCGCACAGACGGGCACGCGAGCAGAAGTGACAATCAATGTGCAGCCGCTCCAAAGAGTGCGCCACAGCAGCCATGAAGCGGGTCATGTCGCCGGTCTCTTTGTAGTTTTGCACGTGGAGGCTACGGAGGCGGGGCAAGCGGGGAAGGCGCTGTTGGGAGAAGCTGTCGCAGCAGAGGGAGAGCTCCCGCAGGCGAGTGAGGCGAGAGAGGCCGTGGTGGAGTGAGCAGGATCGGGTGGTGGAGTCTATCCCATCGTCATAGTAGGATCCGAGGGAGAGGGAGGTGAGGCGAGTGAGGTGGCGAATGAGCGGGGGGAAAAAGCAGCAGCAGGAGAGCGTGAGGGAAGTGAGGTTGCAGAGAGGCAGCAGTGTGCTGTCGTGGATGCTTGAAGCACCGAGTGAGTTGTGGAGTTGTGAATGCTCACCACCGTCGTGATCATGATTATGATCATCACACCAAACATCCTCATCTCCCTCACCCATACCACTCTCCTCCTCTGCCTCATCCTCCCCTTCTTCCCCCTCCCACTCCTCCTCTCCCACCCCTCCGTCTCCCTCGTCCTCCTCGCCCTGCAGCCCCGGAATCCACTGGTTGGCGGCGAGGAGCGTGCGGGCAGTGAGGGAGGAGAAGGAGGCGGGCATGATGTCGGTGGGGAGGTGCAGGGAGAGGGAGGAGAGGCACGACGGCAGGCCCAGCAGAAGCTCCTCTGAGAGCCCACTCCAGCTGCTGCCATCCAAAGACACGCAGCTGCTGCTCATGTCACCCTCACAGGTGTGGAGTGAGAGGGAGCGGAGGGAGGAGAGGCAGGCGAAGGGAGAGGAGTGGGCGAACTGGGGAGGCATGTGACCCACAGGGAGGGCGAGGGAGAGAGAGGTGAGGCGAGTGAGGCGGAGGAGGGAGGAGGGGAGGCGGGAGAGGGGGAGGGAGAGGGTGGTGAGATGCGTGCAGCAGAGGAAGAGAGAGGGGGGGAGTTTGAGGTGGTGGGCGACGCCCTCCCCCTGAATGCGCAGCTCTTTGAGTCCGCGGCACCTCTTCAGCACCGCAAGCAGCCCCCTCTCCACCTCCCTGTTCGTTTCCCCCCACCATTGCCGCATCTCCCTCTTCCTCTCCTCCTTAGGCATCTCCCACAGCTCGTCCCGCCCGTACTCCCAGTCGTGTTCTCTGCTGAAGCCCGGCTCTAGCAGCACGGAGAAGGAGGTGAGGGCGGGGAGGGCGGCGGCAGCAGAGAGGAGGGAGCGCACATGGGAGGGACGGAGGGGGTGAGGTGCGGTGGAGACTATGGGGAGGAGGAGCGCAGAGAGATTGGGGTAGAGCGTGAGGGTGTGGGCGAGGGAGGAGGGGGAGGGGAGACAGGCTAACCAGATGGGGGGGAATGCTGAGCTCCTCCATTCGCCTTGATAGAGGTGGGTGAAGCAGGAGGAGAGGGAGGAGGGGGTGATGGGATGGGGGAGGGTGAGGGGAGGCGTGCAGGATGGGAGCAGAGAGAAGTTGTGGGAGATGGGGGAGGAGAGGAGGACGCAGAAGGGAGAGAAGGCGGGGTGCCATGGGAGGGACGAAAGAGGGGAGCTGGCCTGAGCTGGCATCTCATGGCCGGGTCTCCTGCTGCAGCCTCTGCAGTCGGGGTTCAGAGTGGGAGGGGGGGGAGGGGAGTGGAGCAGGGCGAGGGGGAGGCAGGAGAGCAGGAGGGGGTGGAAGGCGAGGGCGAAGAAGGAGGTGTGCAGGCGGCACCACTGGCGCCACCCGCGGCACACTCCTCTCACGCGTGCCTCGTCCCCATGCAACTGAATCCGCTGGAACACACATTCTAGCACCTCTGCTGGTAACACCTCTGCTGGTAACACCTCTGCTGGTAACACCTCTGCTGGTAACACCTCTGCTGGTAAAACCTCTGCTGGTAAAACCTCTGCTGGTAACTGCAAGCTCATGGCACTTGCCTTGATTCGCAAGCCTCTCACCCCCACCTCATATGCCCCTTGCACCCCCTCCCCCTCCTCCTCCCCCTCCTCCCCCCCTTCCTCCCCCCCTTCTCCCTCTCCTTCACCCTTCCCTTCCCATTCCCCTTCCCCGCCCCCCTCCCGCTCCCAGGCTTTCCCCCGGAGGTACCCTTGGAGGCGGTAGGGCAGCACAGGGTCGTGGTAATCAGGACCGAAGGACACGTGCGCGAGGGAGGAGAAGGCGGAGAGGCAGGCGGGCAGGGCGAGGGGCTTGGAACACTGGAAGAGGTCGAGGCGAGTGAGGGAGGAGAAGAGGCGGAGGGAGTCGGGGAGGAGAGGAAGGTGGGAGAAGCAGATTTGGAGGGATTTGAGTGAGGGAGGGCAGGAGAGGGCGGAGTGGTAGTTGTGCATGGAGAGGTTGAAGATGCGGAGGGCAGTGAGGGAGGGGAAGAGGGAGAGCGAGGAGAGGAAGCGGGAGGAGTGAGGGTAGGACCCTAGTATCAGCGTACGCAGGTGGGGCAGCACGGGGAGGGGGGTGGGTGGGGGGGAGTGGATGCGGAGGAAGGTGAGGTTGGGGAGGAGGGGCGGGAGGATGGTCGGGGCGTGCGTTGGGGTGGGGGGGTCTGAAAGCGAGTGGGTGTGGTCGATTGCCAGGTGGGTGAGGCGGGGCAGCAGACCCATGAATGCCAGAGTGTGCCTATGCTGCTCTGGGGCTCTATGCTCTGTGCATGTATGCTCTGTGCATGTATGCTCTGTGCATGTATGCTCTGTGCATGTATGCTCTGTGCATGTATGCTCTGTGCATGTATGCTCTGTGCATGTATGCTCTGTGCATGTATGCTCTGTGCATGTGTGCTCTGTGCATGTGTGCACTGTGCATGTGTGCTGCAATTCATGGCTGGTCACGTTGCGCAGCACAAGCTCCTCGAGGGAAGGGAAGAAGCACGCAGCTGCCTCCCCTGCTGCTCCACATGCGCCCTCCCCCTCACCACATGCGCCCTCCCCCTCACCACATGCGCCTTCCCCCTCACCACATGCGCCCTCCCCCTGACCACATGCGCCATGCCCCACGGACCCCTTCCCAGAACCCTCCGCCAGTTGCTCCCCCCACCCCCTTACAGCCACGTGGGGCGAGCCCTGGATCTTGAGCGAGAGCAGCTGCGGGCACAGGCGCCCCCACACAGCCAATGGGATGACGCCAGCTGTCCCCATGAGAGTGAGGTGGCGGAGAGAGCTGGAGGAAGGAGTTGCTTCGGGATACGAGGGAGGTTCGGTGAGACCAGTTGCAGGTTCGGTGGGACCAGGCTTGGTGCGGCAGAAGGTTGGTTCGGCAGGCCCCTCACCACTCACGAGCAGATGGGACAAGCGGGGCCAGTGGGAGAAGAGAGCGAGCGAACCGGGGGAGAGGAGAGGGGAGGCGAGGGGGATGGAGAGGAGAGTGAGGGAGGAGAGGGAGGAGAGGCAAGGAGGGAAGGTGCGGTGAGAGAGGAGCGAGAGAGAGGTGAGGTTAGGGAGGGAGGAGAAGCACTGATGGTGGTGGCGCTCTTGCTGGTGTGAGGAAGGGTCGGGGTCGTAGGAGGAGGAGCAACAGCAACAGCAACAGCAGGAGCAGGAAGAGGAGGGGGGGATGGAGTGTGAGGGGTGGGGTGGGAAGAGGGTGTTGAGGCCAGTGCAGTCCCAGGCGCCTCCCACGTTGGTGCTCAGGTGCTGCAGGCGTGTGAGCGACCAGAGCGACGCAGGAAGCCGCCCCACCACCTCGTCCTCCCTCGCCCACTCATCCCCCACCCATCCGCCCTCCTCCTCCTCCCCTCTCCTCCCCATCCCCCCTTCCCCACCATCCCCTCCCCCACCCTCCTCCTTCTGCTTCGCATACACCAAGAAAGTCAAGGATCGCAGGCTCGGTTCAAGCCCCGCAAACAGGTCCGGTGAGAGAGGCTCGGAAAGCCCTGAGGCGGGAGAGGCGAGGGAGAGGTGGAGGAGGGAGAGGAGGGGGAGAGAGTGGAAGGGGCGACCGGAGAGGAGGAGGGGATGGTTGGGTGTGGAGAGGGAGAGACGGAGGGAGCGGAGGGAGGAGAGGTGGGGAAGAAGGTTAGGTGGGAGGTCGGCGAGTGGGAGGGAGAGGTGGGCGAGACGGGAGAGGAGGGGAAAGATTTCTTCCCTTTTAGTGAGGTATTCATTGGTATTGAGGTGGAAGTGTAGTGAGCGGAGGTGTGGGCAACCCGTTATAAGCTGCTTCATCTGTTCCACCTGAGCATCCTCCATCCAAGCGCATTCCCTGCGCTGCTTCACGATCTCGGGATACAAATAGCTGTCGCCAAAGAAGTCTCGTTCTGGCAGCGCTGCAACGGAGAGCGACTGCAGATTCACGCACGAGCGCCCCACTGGCAGCAGCTTCCGAAGGTCCCACTTGCAGTCTCTGCAGGCGAGCATGCGAAGGGCCGTCACATGCTTCGGGTCCTGTGACAGCAGCAGCTCTAAACGCGTATGGAGCGCCGGCGGGGCTTCCCAGAGGAGTTTGACCTCCATGTCGTCCTCTGGGACTGGAGGGGGGAACGAGTCGTAGAACACGGGGTCGTCGGGGTATTGAGGAGACGGGAAGCATGCGTCATGCGGCATGGTGCCCAGCAGCGCGTCCGCCAGCTGCTCCACGCCCAACAGCTCGTCGCCCAGAAACGGACCCGCACGCCGCCGCCTCTCTCTTTCTCCGCCGCACAGCAGCTCGTCCGTCGCAGGGCACAGCAGCTCGTCCGTCGCAGGGTCCCACAGCAGCTCGTCCGCGGACCGCAGTCGCGCGCGCGACGGGCAGCACGGCTCGATCCACCGGCAGATGCGGCGGGCGGTGGCGTCGGAGTCGGCGTGGCTGGCCGGGCCTCCCAGGGCGACCTTTAAGTGCCGCCATCGAAGCGAATGTGCGTCCAGCACGCACGCCAGCCCGGTACTTGGAATCGACCCGCCGCTGGTTTCCGTAGTAACCATCGCCGCACGGCGCCGTTCGCGAGGAGCCGCGGCGAGAGAAATGCGACAGTCGCAAGCTTTCGCCTATGAAAGGATCACGGGGAGCAGCGCTGTGGATGCAGCTTAAAGCCAGGATCTCAAGTAAGAGAACTGGCCTTCAATTGCAAAACACTTGCAGCGCTTGTTACCCTATTTTTGTAGGCGAATTGACTGGCTGGTTAGGAAAGTGAGCGTGCGGCACACCCACGATTTTGCCCCTAGAGCAAATGCAAAACATTTTGCTGGTACATGAGATTGTTGTGTGTGACGAGAAATTGCAGGCATTGGAGCTTCGTCACCGAACCAGTTTCCGAGCCTTGCTTGGTTCGGACTGAATTTGCGATTTGTCTTTACTTCGCACCCCTCGCTTCACACCTCGTCAGATTGTTCACCTCGCTAACCAATCGCAGCCCAGCTCCCCTCACCAACTGCAAAACAATTGAACTACTTGAGATCCTGGCTTTAAGCCGAGCAGTGGAGGCGGCGACAGGGAGTGGCGAAATGACTGGGCGTTCTAGTTGTTCCTGGTTTTAATGTAAGGCGGTAAGGCAAGGGCTGTGTAACATCCGTACCTACTCACCCCTGGTCTCGATACATCGAACCAGAGGTGAAAGGGACAGTGGGTTGAAATGTGATTGGTCACGAATTGAAGGAAAGCGAGACTTACGGGGAAATTGGGATTGATTGGAAAACCAACCAATCAGGTTGTCCCTACAAAACTGAACCTACGAAATTGGTTTGAGTGGTTCGAAACACAACCCACGTAAGTGCAACTCAGACCTAATTCGACCAATCAGAACACAGCCCCAAGAGTGAGTCGACAATATTTCCGCCGCTCACTTCAAACACAACCAATAAACATCAAACACAGGTTTGTGATTGTTGTGCATTTCCTATCCTTGCTATCTAAAATATTATTGGTTGAGAATCTTGTTTGTTGCCACATGGGCAAGGCCCAAGGGAGTGCACCCCTCCTTGCCATGGGGAAGGTGGCTGCACCCCAAGGGGGTCTAGGGAAGGGGTCTGAGCCTTCTGGTTCATTCTTCATTTCCTACTCCCAACTAATCAATTGGGAAATAGGATTGTCTTCTCCTCAACTCACCCTCCAAGATTTGTTACTGCATTTTTCCAGCAACTCTCAGACTTAGTCATTTCCAGGAGTTGTTACTCTCTGGTTGTACTAGAAGCTATTGATATATGGGTAAATGCCCTTTTTCTTAGTAGATCCGTTACATTGGTAATCAGAGCTATTAGTAGATCCTCGCCTTGTGGGCATCTAAGAGGATTTTCTTTTTCTTTTTCTTGGAGGAGTTGTGATTTTCATTGTAATCTCCATATTATAAAATTTTTGAAGACTACAAGCTACTCAAGCGCAGGTCTTCAAGATTTGGAAGCTTCTCCAAGAGTTCTACTCCCTCCCTCCCTCCCTGCTGGTGGAACCATTGGAGCTACTGTGAAGAAGTTGCAACCTGTGTGGATTAACATTCTCTGTTGAAGACAATCACTTTGTGATTGTTCTTGCCTTATCCACTGCGGTGGTAAGGATATTTTGCAACAGAGGTGTTTTTCACATTGCTGTGGTTGTAAGATCTATTGAAGAACTTTCTCCTTTGGAGAAAATCTTGGTTATTCACTGCGGTGATAACAATTTGCAGTAGATCTGTAACTCTTTTTTTTTATAATACAGTGACTTTGCTCTCAATGGCTTCTACCAACTCCAATGCTGGTAGTGTTGAAGGCAACAACTCAAATGCTGAACTGGAAGCTTGTGTGCAGAAAATTGACCTGAACAACATGGATGAGGAAATGGCTGAGAAGGAACCTGCTGTTGACTCCCCTGCAAGGGACCTTCCAGCTGCTGAAAATTCCAAGGAGCAGGAAGGGGAGTTTCAGGAGGATGACATTGAGTTGGAAGGGGAGGAGGACATTCTGCATGCTGAAATTGCTAAGCTGCAGGATCATGCTGCAGTAGATCTGTAACTCTTTTTTTTTATAATACAGTGACTTTGCTCTCAATGGCTTCTACCAACTCCAATGCTGGTGGTGTTGAAGGCAACAACTCAAATGCTGAACTGGAAGCTTGTGTGCAGAAAATTGACCTGAACAACATGGATGAGGAAATGGCTGAGAAGGAACCTGCTGTTGACTCCCCTGCAAGGGACCTTCCAGCTGCTGAAAATTCCAAGGAGCAGGAAGGGGAGTTTCAGGAGGATGACATTGAGTTGGAAGGGGAGGAGGACATTCTGCATGCTGAAATTGCTAAGCTGCAGGATCATGCTGTTGAGCAGGATACGCGCATCCAGCAGCAGCAGTCACTCATCACCAACCTCACGAGGGAGGTCTCTGACCAGGACGACAGAATCAAGTACCTGGAAGTTGAGCTTAAAAACATGAAGCATGATGCGCGCGAGCACGTTCATCAGCTGGCGAGGCAGACCTCAAAGATCAACGAGCTGCGCGAGGCTTTCAGTGCCCTCCGAAGGGAGACCATGTATCGCCCTGCACCACGAGCGGACCCGCCTGCCAACTCTGCTAGCGGTCGCACCAACCCTTCTCGCTCTGGTGGTGCAGTGGGTGACCCTGGTCCTTCTACGCAGCGCGCTGCTGAGCCGAGCACGCAGGCTTTTGGCTCTCTGCCAATCACCCTGCCGCCATTCATCCATGGCAAGACGGACGTGGCTGCGTGGTTGTCGATGATGACCGACCTGTTCAAGGCGCACAAGGTCCAAGACGACGCTCGCGTCGTCGCTGCCACCACCGTGCTAGACCAGAATGCACAGCGAGTGGTGTATGGCAGCAAGATCCATGCTGAGGCGGATAGGAAGCCGTTTGGGTGGGAGGAATTTGCATCTGCACTCAAGCAAGCTTTCCAGGTCCAGCCGACTCAGCTGGAGGTGCGCAGCCGCCTTGAGAAGCTGCAGTGCGGGAACCGCACAGTGCAGCAGTACGCCGTGGAGTTCGAGGAGATCTGTGCTCCAGAAACCGGCGGAACGTATGAGCGAAGGCGAAAAGATCCATCTGTTCTTCAGGGGGATGCCTGAACACCTCAAGAATATGCACATGACAGATGGGGCTGGGGAGGCATGGAGGTCCTACGATCACGTGAAGCGCGTGGTGGGGACTACCGATAAGCATTTCCGTGCTTATGCGAAAACTACTACCCAGCCGCAGCAGACTTCAAGGCCGTCGTCTAGCACTGCGGGTCCTAGCGGAAGGCAGCAGGGAACGCCTTGGAAGTGCGGGAACCACAAGAGGCCCTTCCAGCAGGGGCAGCAGGCTGACCACAAGGCCAAGAAGGTCAACGAGGGTGGACCAAGCAATGTCCAGAGCTGCTTCAAGTGCGGCAAGCCTGGACACAAGGGCTATGAGTGCCGCCACCGCAAGGCGGTGAAGTACTCTGGCAAGTCCAAGACGGACAACAAGCGCCATGATGGCAGTGGTCCCTCGGGCAGCCAGCGGGATTTTGCAAAGCCCAACTAGGGGGTGGGTACCTAGCGGGCATAGTAGATCGAGAGGATGAGGCAGTGGTCCTGCGGGATGAGGAGTTATTGAAACTCGAGTGCCTTGTTGATTGCAAAATTGCATGTGTGTATGCATTTTCATTTAATGAAAGCTCTTTGTTTGCCTCTCGATTTCACCCACTGGAGAATATCACAGTTGAATCATTACGAGATAAATTCTCATTTATATTTTGTGATCACCATAATTTGCCTTGGATAATGGATGTGGTGGGTCGTTGCACCCAAGCGCACCCTCTAACTGCGGTTGGAATAGTAACGCGCACAGTTCGAGGTAAATTGTTTCGAGCACTTCAAGGATGGAGCGTGTTAGCGCAGTGGGATAAGGGACACCATGTGTGGTGGACACAAGCTCGTTCTTTTGGACGCAGCAAGCACGGCATTAAGGCATACTATTTGCCTCCCACTGATATTACAGCATGTCCTATTCGACCCAAACATCAGCAAAACCTTTTGTTTTCGGGTCGCGTAAATGGGCGCAGTGCCTCGATCCTGGTTGATACAGGAGCAACTGCGTCATTGATCGATGAGAAGTGGATGGGATATTTGAATGTTCCTGTTCAAGGACCATCTTGTTCTATCCGTCTAGGGGATGACAGGATCATTCCATGCAGAGGACATGCGTTGGTCAACCTGGATATCCAAAGATATCAGGAGACCATCAGCGTTTTTGTCTTACCCCTCCTAGCAGGCGTAGACATTGTCTTGGGAATGGATTGGCTGCGGCCTAATGAGGTGATATTAAATTTCCAAGATAACACGCTTTCCTTCACAAAGAATGGGACGACGTTTCAATGGCAAGTCCCAAAGCGCCAAGCACTGGACGACAAACCTCAAACATTAGCTCTTGACGTACGCTTTGCGTCGGCTCTTCAATTCAAAGAGCATGTCAAGGGAGCATGTCAAGGATCACGGGGAGCAGCGCTGTGGATGCAGCTTAAGCCGAGCAGTGGAGGCGGCGACAGGGAGTGGCGAAATGACTGGGCGTTCTAGTTGTTCCTGGTTTTAATGTAAGGCGGTAAGGCAAGGGCTGTGTAACATCCGTACCTACTCACCCCTGGTCTCGATACATCGAACCAGAGGTGAAAGGGACAGTGGGTTGAAATGTGATTGGTCACGAATTGAAGGAAAGCGAGACTTACGGGGAAATTGGGATTGATTGGAAAACCAACCAATCAGGTTGTCCCTACAAAACTGAACCTACGAAATTGGTTTGAGTGGTTCGAAACACAACCCACGTAAGTGCAACTCAGACCTAATTCGACCAATCAGAATACAGCCCCAAGAGTGAGTCGACAATATTTCCGCCGCTCACTTCAAACACAACCAATAAACATCAAACACAGGTTTGTGATTGTTGTGCATTTCCTATCCTTGCTATCTAAAATATTATTGGTTGAGAATCTTGTTTGTTGCCACATGGGCAAGGCCCAAGGGAGTGCACCCCTCCTTGCCATGGGGAAGGTGGCTGCACCCCAAGGGGGTCTAGGGAAGGGGTCTGAGCCTTCTGGTTCATTCTTCATTTCCTACTCCCAACTAATCAATTGGGAAATAGGATTGTCTTCTCCTCAACTCACCCTCCAAGATTTGTTACTGCATTTTCCCAGCAACTCTCAGACTTAGTCATTTCCAGGAGTTGTTACTCTCTGGTTGTACTAGAAGCTATTGATATATGGGTAAATGCCCTTTTTCTTAGTAGATCCGTTACAGGCTGGGATCAGAGCTAGCTAATGCAGAAGTTGGTTGGAGCTCGTGTCTCGGCTGCGAGTGTGGTGTAACAAAGCAGGTCTATCTGTCTCGCCTGCTGTTTTCGCTCGCGGATAGGCACGGTGAAACTCGACGCGAAACAGGATTCTCTATGCCGCGAGACACAAGGAAAGACGTGACGACTTGACGACTTGACGACATGCTGCCCCGGGCAGAAAAAAACTAAAACCCTATCGGATGGCATGCCATCCGAGGGAGGCATCAACCCTAAATCCATGCCTGCAATCTAAATTGATAATTGTAGACGACGTGAAGACGCTCCAGATCCAATTTGAATCAAGTCATTTGCAGCTGTGAGCAGAACGCTATCAACGTTTGAAGCCGCTGTGCAGAAATCCGTCTGTGCTCTCTATATTTCGTTTTAGGCACATTCAAGCCTATTGTGACTATAACAGCATTCACGTCTGTCTGCCTCCCATCATGTGTTCGTGCGTTGCATGCGTGGTGTGAGCGTATGCAAGAATTTGTGTTTTGTGCGGTTTGGTTTTTCTGAGTGTGTGTGAATGTTATTTGGCTTGAGCAGATATATGAAGTGACTCCTCTGCTCAAGAGCTTTCCGACGAACCAAGTATCGCTTCAATCGGAGCACGAACAAGAAAGTTACGAACGTTGGAAGTTCGTATGCTTTTGATATTTGGTTGTGGTGACTATGGGAAGTTGTGGTGTTGACTCCATAAGGAGTACAGACTTTTGGGGGTTGGGAAATTCGATACCATCACTATCACTGTAGATGATGCCAAGTGGTTGGGAGAAGCCAAACCAGGTTGGCAAGTGTGGCCAAGTTGGGTGAGGTGGATGGCATGAGTTGGGAAAGTGACAAATGTCAAAGTTGGGGTGCCTATAGAGAGGGGAATTGTGTGGTATGGGGTGTCCTTGGTTGGGGACTCCTTTGGGACCTTCCCTCTCGTCCTCCTCATCCCCTCCTACCTGGTTCTATTGCTACTCTAACTTTCTTGTGTGAACTTGTGAGATAATTGTGATTGAGTTACGTTTTCTATGGCAGCATACCCCCTAGTGCGCCGAAGTTCATAACTCGAGTTATACTCCATATTTTGATACTATTCAAATTGGGAAAGATAGCCACGGTCACGGGCTACAACATAATCGAGTTTGAAAGAATTCTAACAGTGGACCTTTCGTCCACGACGTTTCTTGTGACGACGACTTTTCTGTCCAGAATTGTAGTTGACGATTTTGAGATATTTCAGCCCCTAATCTTCATAGACTCCGTCCTTAGTCTCTAACACTCAGCACCCCCAGGCTCAGCACGCCCAGACTCAGCACCCCCAGACTCAGCACCCCCAGGCTCCACACGCTCAGGCCCAGCACCCCTAGCAGCACCTGAGTCGACAGCTACCTCGACCGGCTCGGCAGGGTCTAGCTGGGACACACCTAAGGGGGCAGGACCCTGGGGGGGGAGGGGGTCTACCGGGGGAGTACCTGGTGCTAGAAAGAGCGGCGGGGGGGGGAGAGAGGCAGTGCGGTAGGGAAAGAGACGGTAGTAAGACACCGACTCGTCAAACGTGACGTCCTGAGAGGACAGAACACGACGCGCGGTGGGGTGGTAGAACTGCCACCCGGGTGCGTCAGGAGGGAAGCCAAGGAAGACACAGGGAACGGCACGGGATGACAGCTTGTCCGCTGAAGTATCGCGGACAAAAGCTCGAGATCCCCAGACACGGAACGCGGACGCATCGCCAACCTTCCCCGTCCACCTCAGGGTAGGTGTGGTCTCCGGTAAGGAGACACGAGGCTGAAGGTTGATCTGATGCGCAGCGTACTGAACCGCGAACGGCCACAGAAAATGGGGAGCAGCCGCATGGGTCATGGACGTACGAGCGACGTCCATGACCATGCCAATGCGGCTCAGCAATCCCATTTTGCTGTGGGGAGGCCGGAAGCGTGAACGTCTGGCGGACGCCCTCCGCACGACAGAAGGCCCTCAGGAGGTCGGAGGAAAACTCACCACCTCTGTCGGAGTGCAGACGCAGAACAGGGAGGTCCGAGCCAAAACTCTCGCTGAGCTGGCGACGAGCACCGCGGATCCAGTCGATCAACACCTCAGGGACCTCACCCTTATTGCGCAAGGGGAAGACTGTGGTGTAACGCGAGTAGTCGTCAACGACCAGCAGGAAGTAACGCTCGTGACCCTGTCCACGGACGCGGGCTGGGCCCCACACGTCCATGTGAAGAGTCTGCAGGGGAGCCTCAGTCGGAGGGAACGTGGAGGAGTGAGGAGCGGCGCGCTGCCGGCCTTCGACACAAGGAACACAGGTAGGGGCAGGCCCCGGAGGAAGGGGAGGGAGGGACCGGGGTAGACCCGAGACAAGGGCACGGGAGGCCATACCTCGAAGACGAGGCAGGGAGGGGTGACCAAGGCGGTGGTGCCAAAGGAGAGTCTCGTGCGACAGAGGAAGACACGAGCAGGGGGCACACGCAGGACTAGACCTGGACGCGGCAGCAAACACCTGACTAGACGCAGCTACCTGACCAGACGCAGAGACCGAAGGAGACGCAGTAGTCAGTGTGTACAGACTCGACCCTGGCCGACGGGTGAACGTGGCCAGGTGGCGGCCCGTTCGAGAGCAAGTGCAGTGGGTCACACGCTGACCTCCAGGGGCAAACTGGTCAACCCACGCGTCCTGGAGGTCAGCTCCACTCACCAGGTTCGTAGAGAACGAGGGGAGGTGGAGTCCCGACAGCAAGCCCGATGGGGCCGTAGGACACGGTAAAACCGTGGAAGAGTGCGCAAGGACTGGGCCCCCAGAAGGGTCAGCCAGGGAGACTGCAACAGGCCGACTGAGTGGCGTGAGAGTGGTGCTGTCTCTAAAGAAAGAGCGCGAAGCACCAGAGTCAAGTGTGAAAGTGTGCAAGGCCTCAGTAGGTGCAGTACCAGAGAGAGCAAACTCACCAGCACCTGGAGCAGCAGACTCACCAGTACCTGGAGCAGCAGACGCACTAGCACCTAGAGCAGCAGCCGCAATGCCCGGGTCGGGCGGGACACTCAGGTAACAGTCACCCTCAGCACTATCAGTCAAAGCATACATGGCAGCAAGGATAGCATCGAAATCAAGATCAAAGATAGCCACATTCTGCCTAAGCAGATCATGCCAGCGAGGGAGCTCAACAGCGTCAGGAAACTGGGCACGCCAGGCGTCAGTCAAGCGACCGAAGCAGCGCTGCGTAGTGTGTGGC